TTCCACCTGCTCGCTCTCCACCTGCTCGCTTTCCACCTGCTCGCTCTCCACCTGCTCGCTTTCCACCTGCTCGCTTTCCACCTGCTCGCTTTCCACCTGCTTACCTTTCCAGCCTGGAACACTCCCCGACTCCAAGCTTTCTCCAACCTGCGCTTATCTACCACTTAGCCGGAGAGCACTATTACAACCTTATACACCACTTACGCCCTAGCCATACGACACAACGTCAGCCCGTGAGGACTCTATGTTTTGCTTTTCTTTAATTCGTTCGGTGGACCGGGCTACTTTCCACTGACCACGAACTTCTCCGAGTAGGATCCTCTCTCATTGCTCTCGAGTTACTTAGTTCGCAAACTTTACTCGATTGATAATGGCATCGGCCGAGGATGTGGGCAATTCAGAGGTCGGGATCCTACATTTAGAAGTGTCACACAATAGCATCGACAGGAGAAAAAACAGAGCGGTGCCGATGACAAGGACTCTCGTGGCTTCATGGTCACTGCGGACACGATTTCCCAGGGCAAAGCTTTGGGGACGAAGAAGGTCAACGGCGGACAAGGGAAAATAGGAGGTTGACGAGGGTCCTCCGGAGAGGGAATGAGGTCTCCTACTTGGCTTTCGGGTGCTTTCTGCCTGGCTTTCGGCTTCCCGTCCGTTCCACTTTTCCATCCCTCTCACTTGTCGACCGATTCTGCTCGTTTCCACCGGGGTTCGTCCTGGGGAACCCCCTTCTCCAAGGTAGCCTGAGGCCTATCTTTTGGCGGGGCGGGCTAGACCTTTCTCCTTTGACGCCTATCTTTGGCGGAGCGGGCTAGATCTTTGTCCGCTCCCCGGGCAAGTTATCCTCCATCCCTTCCCCAGATTCGCTTAAAACGTTACTGTGACATCGAGACATTTGCTCGCCCTCTCTCCTCTTTCCTCCAAGTCCCTCTTCTTTGCTCTCTCTCACCTGGAGTCGAGTGTCTGAATCATAAGCCAGAGGCCTTCAGAAGAACCATCCAAACTTTGGTGGTGCTGTCACCGACATATCACAATGGCTGAGAAGACCTTCCCTCACGAACTCACGGAAATCGACCACGATGAGATGGTCACCAAAAAGGAGTCGAACCCCCACGAGACCATCACCGTGTCCGATGTCAAGGGCAAGCGACACTTCAGTGCCTACATGGTCATTAGCGTCGTCATCGTTCTTTTTGGATCTCTCAGCTACTCTTTCAGTGCCGGCGTCATTGGAACGACCATTGGACAACCCTCCTTTTCTAAGTACATGGGACTGGACAATAACCCGAACGCTAGTGCAATCCTCGGCGCTACTGCTTCCCTCTTCTATGTTGGAGGCGTCTTCGGCTCTATCTTCAGCAATGTCGTCAGCGATCGCTGGGGTCGAAAGGCCTCTATATACACTGGCTGTATTATGGTCCTCTGCTCGGGAGCACTTTGCGCCGGCTCAGTCAACATCGCCATGTTTATTGTCTTCCGATTTGTAGCTGGATTCGGCGGCTTTATGCTTTCAATGGTGGTCCCCGTGTGGATTTTGGAGGTTGCACCAGCCGAGGTCCGCGGAGCATTTGCCCAAGGTCACGCTGGAGTACTCTCGTTAGGCTATCTTCTCGCCAACTATGTGGGGGTAGGGTTCTACCTGAATCTCCCTCTTACTACTGTGAATGCCTGGCGAGGACCTCAGGCGATCAGCTGTCTTCCACCGATCCTTTGTCTCGCCGGGCTCTGGTATATTCCTGAATCTCCACGGTACCTCTTTATGAAAGAACGGGATTCCGAAGCCCGGGGTATTCTCTTCAAGATCCACAAGTCACCTGGAGATGACTTTATTTACTCAGAGATCGAGGAGTTCCAGATCCGGAAGCAAATCGAACTGGATCGCATGCTACCCTCTTCCTGGCTATATATGATCAAAAAGCCATCGAACCGGAAGAGGATGTGGATGACAATCTTTATCGGCTTCGGTATCTTATCAAACGGCAATATCGTCCTCTCTACCTACTGTACTATTATCATGAAAAGTCTAGGGTTCGATGCGACAAAACAACTTCTTATTCAAGCTGGAATCTTTGCCGCCACTATCTCAGGTCCCTTTATCGCCATCCTTTATGTCGAAAAGTTTAGGCGCCCAACCCTTGTCGCTACCGGGCTGACTCTGGACCTTATCTTTCTCTTGATCTTTGTGGCCCTCTTTGCCAGCTTCGTCAACGGTACAAACAGAGCTGCTCAGATTACTTGTGTCGCCCTTGTTTATATGTTTGAGGTTACTTTTAACCTCTTCATCGAAGGGCCACTAGCATACTGGGCCACTGAATTCTATCCGACCAACCTACGTGCTAAAGGTGCGACAATACAGACAGTGACCTTTGCCTGCACAGCCACTCTATGGGGCCAATCTGCTCCATCAGGAATCACCAATATTGGATGGAAGTTCTTCCTCTGCTTCATCGCGATTTCTGTCGTCGTTATCATTGCTCTTTACTTCTACTTTCCCGACACTCAAGGCAAGACTCTGGAGGAAGTGGCTCTTTTATTTGGCGACGACGACCTTGTGGTTGTCCGCCAAAGTGATATCCAGCTTGACAGCCACCATCGGATTATTGCCAAACAGCAGAACGGAGAGGAAATCGTGGAGGACGTGGTTATCAAGAAGGACGCATAGGTCTTGGCTGGTTCAGTTTCAAGAAGGCCAAGGTACGGGCATATGGTGAAACGGTTTCTACGATTGGAGAAGTGGTGTCACGGAGAGTGCCGTACGGAGAGTGCATAGGAGTAGGGATGTTGTTTTGGAGCCGACTGTTTTCATTGCTCCGGCCAGCACTCAAGGTGCGCCAGCTTCTCTATCTCGAATATAGACCCGCCGTCAGGCGTAAAATGAATGTACAAGTTGTTATTATATTGGCAGCGTGAATTCCACAGAAGAGAGCCCTTGATTGAGGCAAACAGCGAACAATTTGCAGCAAACCTTTCAAGGAATGCTCCACAGCCACGGCCAGGCCTTAGGGCGAGGCTGTATCGGACAAGGCTGTAGCAGTTGGGTTTGTTGACAATGGTATTGAAACCATTGCCCTTTTCGAGGCATTGCTGCCACACCGTGCCGCACAGGAAGATCTTTGACTACAGGACCATGGGTGTTCGGCCCACTGCCTTTGGGACCCTTCTGCAACGTCTGGTTTGCGTCTAACCATGACCTAAACTCGGACCAGCTTCTGCAGCGACATTGTACGACGATCTCCGTGAACGTGGCTTAGGCGGCCTGATGACGGGGCCATTGAATTTTGCACAACGTTTACAACACCAACAGCCGATTGTACGATGTAATAGTATTGATCCTCAGAGGTATCTCGGACCAAAATGCAAAGGTTTGAAGAGTATACTTTGAGAATCAGATCGGCGCAACCAACCAGGAAGCTAATTCTGCAAGTGGTACCAGTACTATCACCTGGACTTCGCAGATATCTCAGATACAATGGTTGTAGTACAGAAAAGGACGGCGTCCGGACCATGGAGGGAATAACAAGTCGTCAGCCACCAAGCACCCAGGACTCCGTCCTACTACAGTAAGTCGCGGCCCGCAGAAATGAATTCTTACTGCAGCTGCACCTTGACGAGGTCGAACTGCGACGGGCGGAATCTACACAGATCGGTCAAGCTTGATCATAGTGTCTGCAATCAGAACGGTACTGTACAGCAGTTTTACGCGACCATCGGCACAAGATCCCAACAGAACCCATACTCTGGAGAACTAACAGCGATGGCACGAGCGCTGAGCTTATTACCACGGATCAGGTTTCGCAAAATCGCGGTACTGATAAGTAACAAGGTAGCGGCACTCTCACTTAGACAACCACGGCAACAGTCTGGGCAAGGGTATATCTGTCGTATCTACAGGTCCATCAGACAGCTACGGAGAGAGGGCAATGTGGTGACTGTCATATGGACCCTAGTGTATGACGAAAACAAGCTGAAGAAGATCGCCAAAGTAAAAGCACAAAAGGCAACCGGTCCAGAGGCCCGACCACAAACGCAACGACCAGGGATGAAGTCAACCATGCTCAATGGCGCACGGTCCAAATGTGGCACTACCAGAAATCTGCTAGAAAAGGTCGGAAAAATCCAAGAGAATCGACACAGCGCTACCAGGCAAGCATACAAGGCGGCTATACGAGGGACTTTCATGGAATGAAGCGAGCGTGCTTGCCCAACTTAGGATAGGTATGGTAAGACTGAATAACTATCTTCACCGTATCAACGCTGCTCCGACAGATCTCTGCGCATGCGGACACGTAAGAGAGACAGTTGAGCATTTTCTTTTCCGATGCACCAAATGGACGGCATTCCGAACAGAGATGCTATAATGTACAGAAACCCACAGAAATAAAATATCGTTCTACCTGGGCGGGAAGACACCAACAGATGACAAGTCCTGGACTCCAAACCTGACAGCAGTCCGGGCCACGATACCGTTTGCCATCGCAACAGGACGACTTGATAACACCACCTGACGAATCCACCATCCCCCTCTCACCATCATTTCCGATCCCCTACATTTCGACTCATGCCGGGAAAGCAGGCGCGCTTCAGCTGTCGAGGATAGGATACTAAACACTTAGAGAATCGACTTCAAGCTAGACTACTACGGTAAGATTACTAATACGAGACTCCGTAAAGACGTAGTAAGCGAGTAAGCCTATATAGCGAAGAGGAGATATATATTGCATAGGCTTTAAGGAGACTAGGATATACCTTGAGAAATGTATTAGTAGATCAGCTTTAGCTTACACTTTCGGCTTCGCCGCCGGGCGTAATAAATTATGTGTGTGTGTGTGTGTGTGTGTGTGTGTGTAGTAGTTTCTCACGTTGGTCCAAGGCAGAAGCGGAACCATTTTGGCGGAATTCCTGAGGCTGGGGCTGTGAATACGGGGACCAGTATGGAAGATGTTTTCCTGCCCAGATACCGTGCAGTACCATGCATTTGCCCGATATCCTGCGTTTGCCCGATCTCCTGCATTTGCCCGATGTTGTTCACAAGGCAGACTATGGTGCAGGACAATGGATTCCCACAACCAACATCAAAAGGCTGGTGTGCTATGCAAGAATACTACGGTAATGTCCTCAGAGTCCTCCTTATCGTCCCTCTTTGGACAAATCTATCCCACTTGACAATATGCCTTCTGCGACAGGAAAGCTGCCCATTGGCGAACGGGTCCTGCCCGCCCTCATCGACGAGTATGCTCGCGACGAGCCAGACAAATGCGTCGCCGTCGTGCCGGAAGACGCCACGATGGAAAATTGGTACAACGTGACATATCGCGAAGTGCAGCAAGTTATGGACAAACTTGCTTGGGACATTGACCGGCAAATTGGACGCAGTGAAACATTTGAGACCGTGGTGTATGTGGGCGCCAACGACGTTAGGAACATGTGCTTCTGGGCCGCGGCGATGAAATGCGGCTACTGTGTACGTAGTAACCGTCCAGCTTATTTAGTTATTCCTCGAAAAGAAGCCCGAAGAGTGGCTCGACCGCTGGTATCCCAAATCGCATCGCTACAGGTAACTGGGTAATTTAACGCTGACAAACAACAGATCATGGCCATCTCGCCACGCAACTCAGCGGGAGAGCAACGCTTCTTGCTCGAGACGACAAACTGCCACCAGCTGTTCTACAGCAGCGAAATGGCAGGGAAGGTCGAGCAAATCAAGAAGGCTTTGGACTCCTGGAGATTGAAGACATTCCTGGTGCCGACCTATGCCGATCTCGTGGCTGCCGGCGCATCGAGTGATGCGAAGCCGTATCCCTTTACCAAAACCTACCGGGAGTTGGCAGACAAACCCGCCTTCATCTTTCACACGTCTGGCACCACAGGCATGCCCAAGCCTATCACGCTCGTCCACTTTTATTTCGCCTCGTTGGACGGCGTGAAGCTCCTGCCGGTGCCCGAGGGCCACAAGGCCGCAGACTGGTCAGTATTGAAATCGGGGGACCTCTATTTCAACGGCTTCCCCGCTTACCACCCTGCGGGTGCTCACTACACATGTTGGTGCGCCATCCATACGGCCTCTGCATTTGTCTCGCTTCCTCATGAGACCCCTTTGAGCGAAGACGCCTTCTTGAAAGTGTTGCGGCAATTTGAATTCGAAGTCGCCTTCCTGCCACCGTCTTTCATCGAGGATATCGCCCACGCACCCGATGTTCTCAACGCGCTCTCTCGCGTTAAGTATCTCTTTAGCATGGCCGGTCCGCTGGGAACCGCCTCAGGAGATATAGTGAGCAAGCATACAACGCTTCTCCAGCTCATCGGGTCCACCGAAACAGGACTTATTCCTGGCTTGGTGCCGAAAAATTGGAGAGGTTTCACACAGAACCCCTACTATGGCGACGAGTGAGTCTCGTTTCCATCCTTCTTTTGTCTCTAGCCGCTATCTTGAACCACCTTTTGGGTTTGTCGCGGGGCTGATTTTGGATTTTGACAACAGGATGGAACTAATCGAGGGGACCGAGACGTATGAGAGGATCCTCAGAAGAAATCCGAAGTTTGAGAAATACCAAGCAGTATGGTCCACGTTTCCCGATCGAACGGAATTCCGGACACGAGATCTGTTCAAGAGAGATTCAGAGGACCTCAGTCTCTGGGTTTTTGCAGGTCGGACCGATGACGTTATCGTCCTCTCGAATGGAGAAAAGGTTCAGCCCATCTCTCTACAAACCCAGATTCAAGACCATCCTCTCCTGAGGTCGGCCGTGGTTGTCGGCCAAGGTAGATTCCAAGTTGCCCTGATCATCGAACCCGACTGGCAAAAATGGGACTCCAGTCTGCCCGACCAGGAGCTGATCGATGAAGTGTGGCCCACGGTCGAGAAGGCTTGCCAGTCCGTCACGGCGGTAGGAAAGATTTTCAAAAACATGATCATGGTCTCGAAGAAAGACAAGCCTTTTCCCCGTGCCGGAAAAGGTACCGTTCAGACGGCAAAGACCGTCGTCTTGTACAAGGATGAAATTGAGGATCTCTATGCCAATAGTGATAAGGTCGAGAACGCCATATCGTTGCCGGACCTGGTCAATCAGTCGGCGATAAAAGAGTTTGTCCGGCAGATTGTGTCATCATTTTTGGACGTCGATGATCTGCAGGACGACGACCACCTCTTCTCTCGCGGGCTGGACTCGCTACAAACCTTGGGCATGGCGAAGATGCTACGTTCCGGACTCGAACCTAAACTCAATGGTGCGGTCAAGAATGGGAAGCCCATTTTGACGCCCAGGACTATCTATCAGAACCCATCAATCACTGCGCTCACAACCCTATTAATCACTCTCCTGACAAGCGCGGTGGCTCTTGACTCGAATGGGGCCAGCTCGCAGTTAGGGAACGTGCTACGAGAGACACAGATAGAGTCCATGGTACAGCGGTATACCAGCGATACCATACCCAAAACAAAGAGGAATCCAGCCCGCGGGAGACAAGATGGTCTGCACGTCATCATCACAGGCACTACCGGCTCTCTTGGGCCACACCTTCTACACAGTGTGCTGTCCGACTCTCGAGTGTCCAAGGTATACTGCTTCAACCGCTCATCCGATGCGCGGCAGAGGACGGAGCAGAGTTTCCAGACACAGAAACTGTTAAATTTGGGTCCCAAGACGGAGTTCTTGGTGGTAAAATTCGGTGCCAATGACTTTGGCTTGGACAATTCTAAGTATCAGGAGCTGCTGGAGAATGTGGACCTCATATTCCACAACGCATGGGCCGTGAACTTTAACTACATGCTGGAGACATTTGAACAGACATTCGTCAAGTCTGTCAGCGACTTCAAGGATCTCAGCCTGCGAAGCGTCCATGGTGCGCATGTGTTTTTCGTCTCATCGATCGGAACGGTGGGAGGCTGGAGGCCATCCCCGGACCGGAATACTAAGACAGAACGGATTACAGTACCCGAGTCCGTCATGTACAACGGGTCTGCCGCGATCCAGACAGGCTATGCTGAGAGCAAGCACGTCTCGGAGCGCGTCTTGGCCTTCGCGGCGGAAAATCTTTGTGTGCCCGTGAGTATCGCCAGACTGGGACAGATTGCGGGACCAACCACACCTCACGGCAAGTGGAATGACGCAGAGTGGCTGCCGAGAATCATCAAGACGTCCAAAGCAATCGGCAAGATTCCTTCGACGCTGGAGGCCATTCTGGGAGACGGTATCGACTGGATCCCCGTCGATCTCATAGCCGCCGCTTGCACTGAGCTAGGCTTCAAACGACTCGCCACTCAGGACACTGAGCCTCTGGACGTATTCCACCTCGAGAATCCGAATCTGTCACAGTGGCAGGACCTTCTTCCTGCTCTCCAGAAATACTTCGCTGCTAAAGACAGCCCGGCAGAAATCGTCCCTTACAACGACTGGCTGGACGCGATCCAACAATATGCCAACGACACAGGTGCCACCGCTGTTGATCTGCCGGTTTTGTCCATATGGGATTTCTACCAAGGGGCGAGAGACGCGCCGCAGCGTGTGAGGCCGGCAACCTCCAACACACAAGCAAAGTCGAAGGTCATCGCCAACCTCGAACCGATCGGTCCTGAATCCATGGCCACTTGGCTAAAGCAATGGAGGTATTAAGCAAAGTTTGACAGATTTACAATGAGCTTTGACATGCCGTAGCAAAGGAATGTACTAGTAGGTAAGGATCATGTGCGTACCAAGGACATTGAGAGTTGGGTTATTGTACAGACCAAAAGATCGCTGATGCTGTCACATACACACGCTGACTTTGACACTGCACATGTAAGAAAATTCCGGGGTATTTCGTCCGTCCATCCAGTCAAGTTCTCGCGGAACAACCTATACTTGGATCTGTACTCCGTACGGAGTACTCGTACCCTACAAACTTGATCCGAGGCTGGTGGTGGCCCGCCTTACGCAGCAGGTTTCAGTGGCGGGAGGGTTACTTAAGGAAGCTGTTTAAGGGTGGCGGTGATAGGCCTTGGAGGCGAGCTTGGCGTCGTCGTAACCCCCCGGAATCCCTACCATTAGGTGGCTGCGCCCCTCACTGCCAGTGCCAATGCACCATTCGCATCCCAGCCCAGCCCGTTCCGCTTCTCCTTGTGCCTCCTGGCACTACCGAAACCGAATCGATGCATCTTCAACTATCCTTCACTTGCTGCTACCTTAGGGCCTGCTTAGCTGAGCGCTTTTGAGAGCTTTTGGCCCCCAATCTGACCAAAGCGCTTGTGCTAGATAGGTCTTTGGCTACACAGGCGCTTTTGATTATATCAAATGCATCAAATTTTTGGTGTAAAAGCTATCGAACGCTATAGGTTATAGTACCTCTTATATATCCACAATTTTATAAGCGTATAAACGCGACGAATTACTAGATAAATCCACATCTAACAGTCAATTTATGGGCAAGAAGCGAGTAAGGCGCTCTTACGGAGCTTTGTGGTGGCCCATAGATTTAACGATTGACCAAGGCTTAACTGGGTTGAGCGAGCGAAAGGAAGAGACGAAATTTGCCAGGTGCGTTCGCTCGCAATGACGCTAGATAGAGATTGATACGTTGCCAGTAACTTCAAGTCCTCTCGCGGTTCTCGGTTCCGGCTTTCCAGCGCTTGGAGCGCGATCTTGATCTCCGTCAGTTCAGTCCGAATCTCGCGGATGATGTCGCTTTGGCTCGCAATGGTTTCTTTCAGGTCAGCCACAAGGTGCACGACCGCGATGGTGGCTTCACTCGTCTCTTGAGCACCTCTGCGTCCTCGGGCACAGGGTCCACCTTCCTCCCCGGCCACCGTGATTGTCTCCAAGTCTGAGTCCTCATCTCTGTTTCTGCTGAAGCGCTTTAGCACTGGGCTTCCTCGCTCTGCTCGAGGGGGCTCGTTGTTGCTTTGGTGTCGCTGGTGAGTCTTGCGTGTGGTCGGCATCGTCCAATCGGGAGTTGCCGACGCTAGCGCGCGTCGGGCGCGTCAGGGCCTGAGGCCTTCCGAAACGCCTCTCAAGGGTTCCTGTTCACGTTCTGCCCGAATATCTGATCCGTCCTTTCTCTTGATACCGTCGTTTTCCTTCCCGGTTGTACGATTATCGATAATTCTACAGTCGTTCCCGAAACTACCCTATTAGTAATGCCGCAAACATTATACGGTGAAATATTTAAAAGGTCTAATTAGACCGGGGCTTAGAGGCCTACCTCGACCGTAGAATATTTAAAAAAGTCACCGTAGAATATTTAGTATTCCCGGTTAATTTCTAGAATAATAATTATATCGTTAAACTCGTCTCGACGAGTACTCTCTAATACCGTTAAGTCTATAATCTTTCGAGATATAGTTATTATACTATAAGTTTAATAGAGTATAGATATTTTAGGGGTCGTAGTCTATAATATATACGCGTTACGTTGATATACTCCCCTATAGTGCGCGACGGACTTTATATTCCGCCGTCTATTATATATATATAAGATTATCTAATATTAATTTAGTTATTTCTAAAGAAGTAGATAGACTCCCATATATAATATAGAATATAAGAATTATTAATCGAGATATATAGAATATTAAAAACTCTCTTTAGGTAGCTTAGAGAGTTATTAAGGACTCCTATATATAATATAGAATATTAGAATATATTACTCTAGAGGATTATATTTATATCTTATATTTAATATTATATAGATAAGAGAAGGAATATAGAGAGAGAGACGAGAATTAAACTCTCTATTTATATTATATTTATTTATATATATATATTTAATCTATTAAAAACTTTTTAAAATATAAAGAAAGATCTAGGTTTAAATCCTAGTATTTTTATTATATTATTCTTTAGTACTTTTTATTATAGAGATATTAAAGGATAATATATAGGAAATATAGTACTAATAGTAAAATATCCTTTATTTTTTACTA